CGCCGCCCTCCTTTCCGGGCTCCTGCTGGCGCTCTCCTGCTGGGGGGGACGGCGGCGGCGGGCCGGAGCGCCCCTGGGAGGGTCCGGTTTCAAGGGCGCCACCCCTCTCCCGCAGGCGCGCAGCCCCTTCGCCCCGCGCGAATCCTGGCGGCGCGCGGCCCGCACAGCCCCGGTGGCGGGCACCTTCGGGCTGCTGAGCGGAGCCCTGCAGGGCTACGAGGTGCTGCACGCCTTGGGCTATGGCGGCCAGCCTGGCCTGGAGGGACCCTGGCCCTGGTGGGCCTTCCAGCTAGGCCTGCGCTTGGGCGAGGTGGGCGTCGCGCTCCCGTTGGCGCTGCTGGGCCTCTACCCCGCGCTCAGCAGCCCCCGTGTGCCGCCGCGCTGCTGGGCCAAGCTCTTCCGCTTGTCCCCGGGCCACGCGGCCCCACTGCTGCCCGGGGGCTGGGTCACCGGGCCCCCAGACAAGGAGCCCCTGGGTGGCGCCATCGCGCGTGGCGACGCGGAGCTGCTGCAGCTGTGCGCCCTGGCAGGGCCAGGCCCCGACCTCCTACTCCAGGGAGGCGGCTGCCGGGGCTTCGAAGGCGCGGCGGCCAACCCGGCCCCTTCTCCGGCCTCCTCTCCCTGCAGCGATTACACCGTGGACTTCCGCCCGCCCTCCCCAATCAACCTGCGGCGCAGCATTGAGGAGGCCCTCTGCAGCGAGGCCCTGCTCACGCCCGGCCTCTTCCAGGGCCCCGCCTTCGGGGAAGCCCTGCCTGGGCTCGGCCTCTACCGCACCACCTCTTTGGTGGCGAGGACGGGGGCTGGGCCCAATGGGAGGTCTGAGGAGGCCCCTGGCTTCCCCGTGCCCCAGGAGCCCCCCTCTCCCGGGGCCTGGCCTGCGGGCAGCAGTGCCTCTTCCGGTTCGCTGTGCGGACTTTCGCGGGACAGCTCGTCCATGCTGCTATGCTCCAGCCCCGACAGGCCCCCACGCTGTCCGCTGGTCTGCGTCCTCAGTCCCCCGCGGCCCTCAGGATGCAGCCCTAGCCTCCCGGGCTCAGGCTCCTACCAGGCCCTGTCCCCACCCTCCCGCGACTCCCCAGAGCCTACTCCTGAGCTGCAGGCCGCGGAGGCTTTGCTGCAGGAGCAATTCCTGGACGCCTGTCGACAGATCGACGAGCTGAGTGTGGGCAGCGACACTATAGACCTGTGAAGAGGCGGCCCCCGGCTGCCCCAGCTTACGCCCCCTCCTGGCGCCTGCTCTGCCCGAGACCTGCACACTGTAACCCTTCCCCAGTCCTGCCTGGCTCAGATACCTCTCCCAGCTTTCTTCCCCACCCAGGGGTCCCTGGGCGGGTGGGTCAGCAGCCAGGCTCTGTTGATTGGGGTTAGTGCCACCTCCTCTGGTGCCCTGGGCGCGGATTCCCTCAGCTGCAATTCTAGGCTGGCAGGGGTCCCACTTTCCTTGGCATTCACCAGCAATAAAGCTCCAAGGTGCTCCACTCCCGACCACCACTCCCCACTCTGGTGCTGAGTGAGAGGGGCTGTCCCTCAGAGGACCTCGAGACTGGCTTCGGTCCCCACACCCACCTGTGCCATGCCCAGGAATCCCATTCCTGTGTGAGTGAGACTCCCTGTCCTCCACATGATCCTTCCCCAGAGAAGGGTCCATGGCCCATCGAGGAGACTCCACAGCAGTTGGGTGGGAGGTGAGCGCTTTCAGAGTTAATTTATCAATAAAATATTTTCAGAGAAAGGTCTGACCTTCTTGGAAAGGTTTAGATGAGTCAACAGTAGCAGTGGTTCCATCAGAACTGGAAGACAAGCAGTGTTTGGGTGGGGTGGCTTCATCCCACACCCTGGTGACCTTCACACCTGCGTGCAAGAAGCCTTGTCCTACAGCTGGGATGAGTGAGGGCCCTGGGAGTGACCCCGCGAAAACCCTCTGACTCTCTGGGAAGTGCCTTGTCAGAGATGAAACCGGCCCTGAGAAGTGAGGCAGGACTTCTGCAGTCATTGGTGGCAACGTCTGCGTTCTTAGGAGCCCGGCCGCAGGCTGTGGCGGACAGCTGGCTAGGGACCAGTCGGTGGTAAAGTCCTTCCTGGAAATGTTGATACACATGTATCAACATGTATACGGGCTTGATCACTTGAACACTTGGAGCTGGGATCCCCAGCAAACTCCCTGCCGTGTTCCCAGAGGAATTCACAGAGGTTACTACCTGCTCCATCTACCAACAGGGCCTCTTCAAGGTTGGCCTTGCAACCCCTCTTTCCCTGCGCTCATCTCCCACTGGTGCAGACCCTCCCCAGAGAAAGCCTATCTTCCCCCAAACCCTGGCCCCATCCTACCCACCAAAGCAGAACTCACAGTGCAGAGACCCAGGCCACCAGGCACCCTGCAACCTCTCCCTTGTCCAGAGCATTTGGCTCTGAGCTCTGGGGTGTGCATTTGTCATTTGGCTAAAATGCAGTAAGTTCAGAGTGACACTAAAACAGCGTCATAGATTAGGTTTGAAAATGAAAATCTGGCAGTGCTTTGGCAGATGTCTTGCACATCACAGGGAAACTGACAGGGGCACAACATACCAGGCTTGAAGTGGAAAAACAGGAATAGGAGTGGCTTTTCTTCCAAGTTAGCCCATCAACTCATGGGGATTGGAGAAGGGAGGAGGCCGGGGGGTCAAGAGGAAAGCAAGCAGGGAGGCCGGGAGGGGTGGGTCCTCACCAGACCAGGTCCATGCACTAGTGGAAGAATTAAAGGACTGCTCTCCTTGCACGGGAAGATCTGTCTTGCCTGAGAGGAGTGCGCAGGGTCTTGGACCTCAGAAGGAGGAAGAGTCAGTGATGTTTGGGGTGAGTGAGGGTCATAGTAGGGAACTCAATGAGACAGGCACTGCTGAGGAATGGAACTAGAGTGGTTTTTGACTCCGTCTCCTCCATCACCTGGCTCAGCTTGGCTCAGAAATTCTTGCTGCATCGTCACTCTGGGCTGAGGCCCAGGGAACTGCCAGCCTCCTAATTATAGGCATTTCTCACTGGTGTCGTGGTGGCTGTAGCGGACCCAACATTGGAGCTGCTTTGTATCATGGAAGGGGTGCTTGCTGGCTGCTTGGAAAAATGGCTCTTTTTCTTCCCCACCAAGCCTTCCATCTGCCTCTGCTCACGCCTAACTCCTCTTGGCCACCTCTTCCTCGCTTTAATGCTTGCCAGCTGGCTCATTCACTCTCCCCGCCAAGGTTCATGCACACAGGCTCCAACAGAGCCGTCCAAGCCCTGCATATCCCAAGTCAGTCTGTCGGTTGGTCTGTCTGTCTGTCCCTCACACACACACACACACGTACACAAACTCCTTTTCTGACTGGAAGCTGTGAATGGGGCTGATGAGATGGGGACAGGAAGGAGGAATACAGCTCAGTGTTCACCAGCTCCAACACTTTGGTTTTCCTTAGCAAGAATTACCTCAGCCCTTTGACTTTATAAAAAGGCCAAGACTTTGGTAAGACAACCTTTCCCTCTTGTCCCATGCCTCGGCCCTTACCCAAAGCAGGATTCCCAGAGTAGCCCAGGTAGATCCTAATGCATACACCCTTCAGGTCCAGTTCTTAGTACTGCAGGGACTGAGAGACAAACTCATTCATTCCCTCCTTCATTCAATCTCTTTAAAACATTTTATTGAATGCTTACAATATACTAGGTGATGAGGAGAGAGAGTTGAACGAGGTGGACACCAACCCTGAACGTATGAAGTTTAAGGGCTTTGGGGAGAAGGCAGACATTAAAGAACTAATCATATAGGGCACGTGGCTGGCTCAGTCCGTAGAGCATGCAACTCTTGATCTTGAGGTTGTAAGTTGGAGCCCCACGTTGGGTGTAGAGATTACTTAAAAATAAAATCTTAAAAAACAAAACGAATCATATAAATAATTACAATAGCACTAACTACAGCTGTGAGAAGGACTCAGCACAAGAAGTGAGTGGTATAATAAGAAGGTTTGGCTTGCAAGGGGGAGTGGAGCCAGAGGGATGGGGCCTGGGAGAGGCTGGCTGGGAGAGAGAGCACAGCCCTGGCCTCTCTTTCTTCCTTCCCAGGCTCCTGCACAGTGATGGATGAGGGAGAAGCCAACAGTTTATTTCCCCTGGAAGCCACGTTGCTGGTGTGGTGCGGGGCACCACAACTCCTGCTATTTAATAAAGAACCCTGCGTGTGTCCTGGGTAGATGGATGAGCAAATATTCCTGACTGAAGCACCACGTGGTCTCCCTGATGTGAATGGATAGGACCGGCGGGGCTGAGGTTGAGGCTGGGAGACTGAGATGGGGGGGGCCAGGTCTGAAACTCCGGAAGTGTTGAAAGGGTCAGCGGCATTGTTCTCCCCTAGGGGCGCAGAACTCCTCTGCAGTGCGGGTGGCTGCTGCCCTCTGATGGGCACAGGCACACAGTTTTGTTTTGTCCTTTAAGGAAGGTCTGAGGGCAAAGTATTTTAAACAGCATTGTAGGGACATCCCAAAGGGGTGTTGGAACAGCCTTCTTAGGGTTCTTTTCCCTGTGTACACTGCTCCAGCACTGGGAAGCCCTCCCTATAGCTAGGGCCCCGAAGCTTGCAGTTAAGTCTTTGGGGATAGAATTTTGATTTCTAAAGTGGTGAGGGGGCAGGAGAGGAGGAGAAAAAAGGAGGGAGGAACGTGGAATCCCAAACCGACTTTATTCAAATGACCCATCCCATTTCCTTTGTCTACTTGTCTCTGTTTATCCTGGATAGGATTAAGCCCATAGCCCTAAAAATCTGTTTTGTATTTCAGTACTTCCTCTCCTAAGTTATGTGTGTAAAAATAACTGGCATTTTCTTTTGAGCATACATTATTTACGTGGAGCTAGGGCTTCATAAATCTGATGTTAAGTGTTCTCCCTTTCCCCCCCCATTACTATCAACCAGTCATCCCATCCGTCCAAAATGTATTGAAAGCAAAAGGGGTTTGAAGAGAAACGGAAACTTACTTTTCACTGTACCTTTTGTACTCCTTGAATTTTCAGGTTATACCATTGAGAACTTATTATTTAAAAAGTGCATTGGGAACTTTTCTCAGCTGGAACCCCTGCAGGGTGCTGCAGTCTTGCACACAGGTCAGTTCCTGAACCCAGTGGAATGGCAAATAGTCTCTGCTTTCCAGGTTCCCGGAGCACCCAGGTCTCCTGCTGGTGGGTGAGATCCCTCAGCCATGGGTCTGTCTGATAAGCTGACCTGAGGGAAGGTTTTCTCCTGTCTCTGGGAGGACCTGCATTCTGGGTCTGTGTGTATGTTATGTTTGCTTTGGGTGTGTTCTGTTGTCCTGTAGTGTGCATGTTATGATTTATTTGTAAGTTTTTAAAATTAATGTCTGTCTACCCCCACTACACTTCATTCTCCATGAGAGTAGGGACTCTTGTTTTAGCTCACCAATTTTATCCCTAGTGTCTGGTACATAGTAGGCGCTCAGTAAATATTTATTGAAAGAATGATTGTGTATGATATGTGTCTGTGTGTGCTTTAGTAGCTGTAATTTGTCCTCTAACTGTTACAGGCACGGTTATAGTTATCTATTATAGTGTGACAGATGTCTCATATTTTCTGAAATATGAGACTTCTTCAAATGATGTTTGTGATGTATGCATCGATGTGCATTCTGGTTGCATTTTATACACGTAAACTGGATGTGGTGGCACCGAAGAAAGTATTCATTAAATATCCAGTACGTGTCAGATCCTGGGTGAGACGCCGAGCAAAAAACGACTTCCTCTTCCTGCCGTGGCACTTTGGCATCATCTCCTGGAAGTGAGATTTAAATCTGGGTAGGAGCTAGAGATGCCGGTTTCCTACAGTGGCCCGGGGGCGAAGAGGACCAGAGGGGCAGCACTGGGATTAGGGGGGTGGAGCCCCGCTCAAGAAGCTCCGCCCCCAGGCATGACCTTTTTTTTTTTTTTTTCCATTCCGGAACGCTTTTTCCCCCTCCCCACCATGTTTTCCTCCGGACTCTTTTGAGTCACGAGCACTTCCGGAATCTCCGGGCCACTTGGCGTGGTTGGCCTGCCAAAGCCAGGTCCTTGCGTCGCGTGCGCGGGCCCGGTTCCCTCGCGGTCTCGCGCGCCTTGGTTTCCCAGCCTCATGGCCGGGCTGACCCTATTTGTGGGCCGCCTCCCGCCCTCGGCCCGCAGTGAGCAGCTGGAGGAGCTGTTCAGTCAGGTGGGGCCGGTGAAGCAGTGCTTCGTGGTGACTGAGAAAGGTAGGGGGCGGGGCTGTCGAGGATAGGGCTGGGGTACCCGGGAGCGGGATCCGAGCGAGGACACCCTCCCAGACTTCAGCAAGCCAGATAATTCTGTACCCGCCCCTACGAGAAGGGGCTGGGCATTGAGTTTCTCTTCTAAACCGACTCGGTTCTGGGTGAGTCCATAGAGGTCCATTTCTGAAAGGCAAGGCATTGCCTCAGGGTTACATAGCGTTTACGTTCCGTTTCCTACGTGCGCTCACATACAAGATCTTATTTGGTAACAGTGTTAACATTTAATATTTAATACAGTTAACATTTAATAAAACATCAGTCAGGCTTATTGAGAGTCAACCGATTGCCAGGCACGGTGCTGAATTCCGCACGTGTTAATCTCATTTAGTTTTCTCAACAGTCTTGTTGGGTGGAGAGTCTTAACCCCATTTTACAGAGAGTAATCTGGAGCTTAGGGAAAATTTGGTAACTTTAGTTGAAGTTCGTACAGCTTGTAAGTAGCGGATCCAGAATTTGATCACCCGACCTGGAGCTCCTAACCAGTATGTTACTCATTTACTCATTTATTCATTCAAATAGTTTTTGAATGCCTGCTATGTACTGGGCACTGTTGTAGGTCCTGAGGATGCAGCGTGCACCAGACCAAGCCAAAAAACTTGCTCTTAAGTCTTCAAGATGGGGAAGACAGCCAATAAACAAGCAAGATATATAGTGGTTATGGTGGTAAATACTAAGGGGAAAAATAAGTCAGGAAGAAGGATAAGGAGTCTCTGTAAGTGAGTGTGGGGGAGGGGGTTGTAGAGGAGTGAGGAATGGCAGTTATCTATAGATAGAGTAGCCAGGGAAGGCCTGACTGAGGTGAAGGAGTGAACATGTGTCTCTCCAGGAGGAGGAGGCTAGGCAGAGGAGACAGCAAGCTCAGGAATACTGAAGAGGACTCTTGGTATACTGAAGGAATAGCAGGGAGAGCAGGGTGACCAGGGTAAGTGAGTGAAGGTAAGAGAATTAGGAAGTGAGATTCTAGGGTACCAGATCATGGAGGACCTAAAGGCCATTGCAAAGACTTTGGCTTTTACTCTGAGATGAGAAACTACTGGTTTTGAATAGGGAGCGGTAAGTATGATCTGGCTTACACTTTAAAAGATACTCTGAGGCTGCCGTTGGAGAATAGGACAGAAGCAGGGAGACCAAATAGTAGGCTTCTGCAATAATCCAGGTGAGAAATTAGGGTGTTGGACCGGGATGGTAGCAGTGGAGGTGGTAAAAAGTGATTGGAATATGGATATTTTTGAAGGTAGAACCGAGAGGATTTGATGGCTCAGATGCAGGGTATGAAAAAAAGAGGAGTCAAGTCTGATTCCCAAGGCTTTTGGCTTGAGCCACTGGGGATATTTACTTGTGTAATACTGCTGTGTGCCTCATATTCTGTGTGATGCCCATTGCATCACTATGAGAAAGGGTTGGCATGTATTGCAATGAGAGAGAATTGTAAGGGTTTTAATTGTAGAGAAGCATTCCTTCCTCTTACCTAGACTTCAAGTACACTCAAGATGGGCACCTGATGTTATATTTAGCTCCCTTCTAAGTCATCAGGCTGTCTCTGTAGGTGGCCACTTCTTTGCCTTTCAGCAGAACAACTGGTGGGAACTGGCATCTTGTGGACCCCCATTTCCCCCTATGGTATCTGAGTATGTGAGTAGGCAGGCTAACTGTGTGCTAATAATCCCTCCATCATTAGCTTGTATTTTGTTAATAACGGGATTGTCCACATGGCTCTGATTGCTGTACAAGCCATGACACCAGCCTGGTTCTTTGCCATTTTAAGTATAGATGTGGGTGAGTGAGAGAATGAGAGTGCTGTACAGCCGTGTTTCTTAAACTGCAGATCCTTACTTGTTAGTGGGTTTTGAGTGGGTCATGACAAGAATTTTTTAAATAGAAAGTATATGTATATGTGGTAAAGGATTAATATTCATAATTTTAAAATATTTTATTTGTTTAAATTTTTT